CTTTTTATCTTTTTTCAGTCTCCATAAAATTTGCTTTTTATACCGTTAATACTCCACTATCATTGCCTGAGAGTTTTTTAGTTTGCGATTTTGGTCATCAGTAATATATGAGGGTATGCATTTGTGTTAATATAATACCTGGAAACGGCTCTGATTTGGGGTCCCTCAGGTGCACGGTCAAAGTCACAGCCTTTTGAATTGGACTAGATGCAATTGTATATGCAAGATGTACCCACAATAACAGAATCTTTTGATTTACTGTGTCAGACAATATCAAGAGAGCCGTTTCTGAATCAATCCGTTGTGGTCCCATATCATGAACCTATCGCAGCCTCATAATAAGGTATTAATGTGCGGAATCAAATGTTCGGTGGATGTGTCAAATTAACATTTTTGGCGATGTTATAGTAACAGGGTATCATTTACGTTTAAGCTCTGATTAATAGACATAGTTAAAAGGTGGGTTAATATGAATGTAGGCCTACATAAGCTTCGAATCAATTTCCTTAATTTCGCTTTCTCCAGTCTTATCTGTTTGTAGTCGCATGCCCTTTTAAAAATTTTACTGTATTTACTTCAGTCACATAGATCTCGTTTCTGCATTCGTTTCCAAGTCACGTTTCATATTTCAGAAAATGAGTGACGATCGGTTGCGAAAATGTGTCATCGACGAACTGCGTAAAGCACAGGGAGAACCGCTTTCCTCAGAGGAGTTATATGAGCGATGTGGCGGAGTTAAAGTCACTAATCTTAGTGTTGAGGCATTCAGGTATATACCCGTCCTTGTACTGTATTATACTGCTTTATGACTATTAAATAAACCTAATCATCCTTTAACTTTAGTTTACATCTTCATCTCAAGATCGTTTTGGAAATCAGGGAAAGTGCGATTGTTTTTGCGTGCTTTGAGCTGCTAGTTTTCTGATAAATCTTTTAGATATTATTAAGGCAATATACATAACTTAATTGTAAACTTTTCTAGTTCGCAGTTTTTAGAAATTTTTGTTTGCAGGTCCTTCATCTTGCAACGCTGTTCTCGTGCTATAAAACCTGTTCATGATGCAGGCGACGAAAATAGCCTTCCTAAGTGAGCTACTATCTTTTGACATCTTAT